TACAATAATTTAATACTAAACAAACACAGTGAAATATATTTTTTTCGTTAGGTTCAGAATGATTTTGGCGAAATTAATGCATACACAAATTTTCACTTGTCCTATATGGCAAGAGAGCGTTGCTATTTAAGCCAAGATCGCAAATTCTGCCTATTCGGCACGAGATTATATATATATATATATATATATATATATATATATTATATATATATATATATATATATATATATATATATATATATATATATATATATATATATAATTATTGGGACAGTACGCACTTCTATTACAAATCTTGCCAGACCAGACAATACTCTGGCACCGGCCCCAAGGTAGACGATCGATCGAGAGTAGCTGGTACCAGGATGTTGATTAGGTTTTTCAGTGTTAGAAGTTAAAATCACAGATAAGCCACAGTGATGTTAGGAAGTATTTATTCAGTCTCAAGAATAGTCGGGAAGTGGAATGATCTTGTTGAAGTGGTGGTGGAAGGCTCTATACATAGTTTTAAGCGCATGTACGATAAGACCCACGAGGCTAAGGAGTGAATCTGGAGAGTGACAAGTTTGAAAGGTGAGGCCAGGATCTGAGAATCAACCCCGGTAACCACAGATAGGCGAGTACACACACACACACACACACAGTCCTACGAGGAGAGGTTAAGGGAACTCAACCTGACAACACTGAAAGACAGGAGGGATAGGGGACATAACATAAAATACTAAGAGGAGTTGACAGGGTGGATAGGGACAGAATGTTTCAGAGATGTGGCAAAGCAACAAGGAGTCACAACTGGAAGTTGAAAACTCAGAAGAGCCACAGGGATGTTAGGAAGTGTTTCTTCAGCCATAGTTATCAGGAAGTGGAACAATCTGGAGAGTGATGTAGTGGAGGCAGGATCCATACTGTGGAAAATTGCATTTATCTGAATGTAACTAATTATGTACATAACAGTAAGTTATAAAGATAATTATTATTTATCAATGCTACATAGACAAGTATGAATTTGGGACACCTAGGTCGCAAAAAATGTCCCCCTTCGATACCTACCACTGTCATAACCACAAGTTGCTCTGGACCTATTAATTAAATGAAATATACATACACCAGGAATACTGGTAAATATATAAATTTGTGCACTGTATATTAAAAATAAATGGTTATATATATACACAATTACATAATAGAAGGAAAATTTATCTTAATATCACTCACCAATTTGACTGGAGATTAATGTGTATCATACTCAGAAAACCTCACTCTAACTAAATCTATGAAAATAATGCTGGCCAGAATTACAAATCTAGAGAGCTTATCTGAGGTTCCTGGAGCTGTCTTGTCCAGTCGTCTGATATCTCAAGTTATGCAGGAATGCACATCCACCAATTTCGCCTCCTATTTGAGAGGTGTCAACACAATTTTAACCTCTAGAGCACGAAAAATTCTTTCCATTACACCAACGTTCTATTCAATTCAAAACCAAGATGGAGAGTCACGTCTGCGCAGACGCAGGCTTTCCGTTTTCTATGACATAAATATTATTAAATACAGTATGGCCATCTATTTACATATAAATACTGAATTTCTGGAATATATATATACAGTATTTTCCACACATACATAGCTTTAAGAAGAGGTACGATAAAGTTCATGGAGCAGGAAGAGAGTGGACCTAGTAGTAACCAGTGAAGAGGCGGGGCCAGGAGCTATGACACGACCCCTGCAACCACAGGTGAGAACACGCATACCCAACAGGCTAAGTGTTTGTCGACGGGAACCTGTGACGGTTGGTAACTCACACACTAAGCGATTATTTTAACTATTTTATGCATGATATTAATTCATAGGTTTCTGCCTTAAGTTCTAATTCTAAGTTTCTAGAATAAATCGAATACTATTAAGCCATGAAATAAAATTCATATTCAAATGTGTTGCAGAATATAGTAAAGATGTGGGATATACCAAACTATTAAGTTATATAATTTCGTTAAAGTTCTTCTGGCTTTATCAAAGTCCTCCACGTGGATACACTAATTATATAGTGAACGAACAAGTGTTGCTAATATTTGACTGACACAAGCCTCATGGAGTTGTAAATGGCAGCTGCGTAAATGGTCACATGCCAACTCCTTACATTTCCCTGACTATCTTGATGCTAAGTGAAGGGAGGATGAAAAACCCTTTTCCGAAGGACTTCACAATCCATTAACTGTTAAAAAAGGATTTGAATTCATTTAGCGTTATATTGTCCAGCTGTGTGACGTGAGGCGAATAAATGTCTAGGTTAATAAGGAAATGAAGGCTCCTTTTACTTAAAATTAACTAAATAATTTGTTATATATTCAACGTTATTTTCGTTTGACCTGTTTTCATTATAAATATATTCACAAAATAATTTCATTCTTAACACCTTAATTCATTAAGCAGAAATGAGTTTATATATATATATATATATATATATATATATATATATATATATATATATATATATATATATATATATATATATATATAAACTCATCAATAACACTGCACTAGCCAAATGGCCTCGAATTTATGCTGCTTTGCCCTGCCTCATGGGGGGCGAAAACTCATGACGCCTTAATCCACTGGACCATACAATCCTTAAGAGTAGCACATCCAGTTCGCTGGATGCGCTACTCTTATTAAGGATTTTATGGTCCAGTGGATTAAGGCGTCATGAGTTTTCGCCCACCATGAGGCAGGCCAAAGCAGCATGGGTTCGAGGCCTTGGCTAGTCGCAGTGTTGTTATTGATCATACCACTCGTTCATGGGCACAATAATTATATATATATATATATATATATATATATATAATGCATGCATGCAAAACAACCACTGTGAAAGAGTAGTGGAATATCACTACTCTTTCGCAGTGGTTGTTTTGCATATTTTAAAATCACCTGTTTACTGTGATCTTGTGATCTTATTGTGCAATATATATATTATATATATATTTTATATATATATATATATATATATATATATATATATATATATATATATATATTATATACAGTGGACCTTCAACCAGCGATATTAATCCGTTCCTGAGAGCTCATCGTTAGTCAAAATAATCGTTAGTCAAGTTAATTTTCCCCATAAGAAATAATGGAAATCAAATTAATCCGTGCAAGACACCCAAAAGTATTGAAAAAAAAATTTTTTACCACATGAAATATTAATTTTAATACACACAAACTGAAGATTACATGCACAGTTACATGACACTTACCTTTATTGAAGATCTGGTGATGATTGATGGGATGGGAGGAGGGGAGAGCGTTATCTTCTTACTGTTTAGAAGGGGAATCCCCTTCCATTAGCACTTGAAGCAGCAAGTCTTTTTCTGGGGTTACTTCCCTTGTTCTTTTAATGCCACTAGGACCAGCTTGAGAGTCACTGGACTTCTGTCGCACAACATATCTGTCCATTGAGGCCTGTACCTCTCATTCCTTTGACTTTCCTAAAGTGGTTCACAACAGTGTCATTGTACAGGTTGCCAACACGGCTTGCAGTAGCTGTCTGAAGGTGATTTTCATCAAAAAAAGCTTTGCACTTCAAGCCACTTTGCACACACTTCCCTAATGGGAGTGCCTTTTCCTCCTGAGTAATGTACGTCCTGCTTGGCATTTTCTTCCAAAACAGGCCTGTTTCGTCACAATTTATCACTTGTTCAGGTTTCAGTCCTTCACTGTCTATGTACTCCTTGAAGTCTTGCACATATTTTTCAGCCGATTTGTGGTCCGAACTGGCAGCCTCACCATGCCTTATCACACTATGAATGCCACTGCGCTTCTTAAATCTCTCAAACCAACCTTTGTGGCCTTAAATTCACTCACATCACTAGTTGCTGGCATTTTTTTAAATTTAAAATCGTCATGCAACTTCCTAGCCTTTTCACATATGATCGCTTGAGAGATGCTGTCTCCTGCTATCTGTTTCTCGTTTATCCACACCAATAACAGTCTCTCAACATCTTCGAGTACTTGCGATCTCAGTTTCGAAAACATAGTTGCACCTTTGGCAAGAACAGCTTCCTTGATTGCCGTTTTCTTGCCCACAATAGTAGCGAGGTTGATTGGGGTTTATTATACAACCTGACCAGCTCAGAGATACGCATTTCCATTTTTCATATTTATCAATAATCTCTTTCTTCATCTCCATAGTAATTCTCACCCTTTTTGCTGTAGGGTTGGCACTGGAAGCTTTCTTGGGGTCCATGGTGACTTATTTTGCAGGTGCAATCACTAAAAAGGCTGTGATAATATGAAATGTTCCAGTTGTATGTTTGGAAGCGATCGCAGTGGCTGGCTGGCTTGTGAACACTGGCACCAAAGGGACAAGCGAGGCGCGCTCAGGCCAAAGTGGACGCGTATGGTACGGAACGAAAAGCGCTGGTCGGGTTTTTAAGCGCTAGTCGAAGCAAAAATTTTTTTTAAATGAATCGCTAGTCAGATTTATCGTTAATCGATGCAATCGCTGGTTGAGGGTCCACTGTATATATATATATATATATATATATATATATATATAAGAAATAATGTATAATTATTCAGTGTTTATATAGAGTACATTTGGGTACATTTTTTTATCCTAAGTGTGACGTCTACTGTGATTATTTAAATGTATATAAACATCGACCTTCACAATGGCTGACGAATAATGTATACCTTATTGGCCTACTAACAACCTGCAACTTGTGCTTCATATAAAAGTCTGCTTTTATTATTATTACATTTATAAAGATTGTAAGGTGATCACCAACAGTTTAACTTGTCAGATCGCAGACCGCTGATAGTAGACAAGTAGCCTCCAGCGCTACTTGTGCTAAATGACAAGAATTAAGGCACTGCATGCCATACAGTAAAACTGTTGACAAGCTAGGTGTTAAGGCCATGAGTTGTATAACCATAAGCTTTAGGTAAACCACGTGTACAGTGATGTATAAATATTAAAATACTTTTCCTTTTTACAGGAACGTCTCCCTTTACACTGTACTTTAGTGTAAAGTTCTACGCAGCTGACCCGTGCAAGCTGGTGGAGGAAATCACTAGGTAAGTTCTGTGAATATTACACTTGTTGGAGGTGCCTGTAGAGAATTTTAAGGCGTGGGGGAGAATTTTGGACACATTATTGTGCTAGCACGAGTAATAAGTGTTGAACTGCAGTCCATAGAACAGATGAGGAATGTAAGGGATTTGGAGGTCGGAATATATTACGTTCAGTGAACACAGTTGTACTCTTACAATTGCAAAGACCTGCGGAGGGGGGGGGGAGCTGTCTTGATGCTGGTGAAGGACTCTTGATCCAAGGGATTGGAACTACCCTCAACTCCGTAGATCAAAACTGATTACCCCCACCTTTCTCATTCAGTAGGTCTTGACCCTTGTGGGTTTATTGTTTCTCTGTTAATAATATCAGATGGAAAGAAACTTGATAAGCTGGCTAACAAGACTATACAAAACAGAGATGCCAAGTCAGTGATGATTATCTTTTAAGTCACCTGTAACATAGAGACTGGAATAAAGCTGCAATCGAACCACCTTATATAAAGTTGTCAAAATTGTAAAAGGTTACTTAATAAAAGTATCTAATTTCTGTTCATGTATGGAATTGCCTGTATCAGTTAATGGTAGTGCAAAACAAAGAGCCCCGTGAAAAGCAGGAGTGCAAAATTACACTAAGGCCAACCTAATAAGCATAAATGGCAATGTAAAAGGTTTCTAATACCCTTCAAATAAAAGGATAATTACCAGCATACCTTGTCTTTAAGAGGGAACTTGACAAGTTCTTGCAAACTGTTCTTGATAAGTCGGCCAGTGGTATCTAGGCTGGACTGTGGAGAGTGTTCCAACATGACTGACCAGTGTAACAGCGGGCTGCAGGGACCATGAATCCCGGAACGATAACAAAGTCGACATTAGTTACATATGTTTCATGAGGTTAACAGGAGTGTTAGGTAAGACACATATGCAACAGTTAGGTATCTTTATTTCGAAACGTTTCGCCTACACAGTAGGCTTCTTCAGTCGAGTACAGAAAAGTTGAAGCCTACTGTGTAGGCGAAACGTTTCGAAATAAAGATACCTAACTGTTGCATATGTGTCTTACCTAACAATCTGTCGGTATTTTATACCATTTTAATGTTCATCAGGTTAACAGGAGATCGAGAATATCATCATTGACTTAATGAATACTTAATGATGATTTATGGATTACAGAATTGTGTATGTTTAAGTGTATTAATCTTCAAAATATCTGTGTATCTTAAGAATACTGCTTTAACTTGATATTGATATCAATAAATGGAAAACAATACTGATTGAATTAAAGTGTATTATCAAAGAAATAATAAGCATAGTCACTCGACTAGGAAAGTTACCACCAGGAGCAGCAAAGAAGTGAAAAAGTACTAGGCTCGGGAATAATGTTTAGAGAAAAAGTCATTTTGGTGATGTGGGGAAGGAAGTTTAGGCCAGGCGAGTGGGATTTTAGCCCATCTAGTTAGTGAGGGCGTTCTGCTTGTGGCATTACACAGGATAATCGACCATAACTTGCATGTTCATTGGCGGGTTCATCCCCCGCCAAGCCATTACCCCGGAGAAGGGTGTCTCGCTAAATCTGCATAAGACGGAATTACACTACGAACTCCTTATAGCGAACACATTCAACACTCTCCTAATATTGGCTCGTGCACGTTCCTATTATTTTTGATGATAGTAAAATGTTTATCTCAAATAGAAGAAGGTAATTTATGTTGCAGGTGTAGGAGAGTAAGGATGGAAGGGTATGGGATGTGTTGAGGTGGTTTAAACTACATAGTTTCTAAACCTAGCATAAAGTTCAAAAGAAAAACACGGTCATGAATTTGAAAATGAGAACGCGAGAGTTCCCCTAAAGTGATTTGTTGAAGTTTAATGGAGTAGTGTGGCGAGGATGGCTTGTTTGCCGGGTGGTGGTTGTGGTGGTAGTGGTGGTGGTAGTGGTGGTGGTAGTGGTGGGGGCGACGGTAGTGGTTGATGGTTGTGGTGGTGGTGGTAGGTTTGGTAATAGGGGTCGTTGTAATGGTGACAGATACTGGGTTGCGCATTTATTGGTAATGGGTGTTGTGTTTATTGGTGCTTCGTGTTCTTGCCGAGTCGATAAAATTTCGTTAATTTGCTCTTCATCATTGTATCTTAGAATGTAACAGATACACCAATATAGAAGCAATACTGTTGCTATTTAAATATCCCCAAAGGGGATATGCCTTTCTGGGCATCTAACTTTTTGCACTGTTTATTTCTAAGGAAGCGTTCTATTGCTTTTGAGTTGGATAGGTTTTAAGTTGCAAATTTTAGCTAACGAACTGATTTCTGTGTACTGACTGGAGGATGCCTCTTCTGACCGGCTTCAAATCTAGACACTGGTGTTTCTTACTAAAAAGAAAACTTAGATTTATATTGGGCAGTGTTGGTGCCAAGTTGTAAATTTTATTACAGAAGCGGGAAAATTTAAATAGTTGTTGTCACGCAATAACTTGTGAATGACACACACGATCGTCTTTAAATCTCCAATGCCAGTAACTTGAGAATGCAACTTATCAGTGGCTTCAAGCTTAAATTCTTGGTTTGTTTGGGAATATTGATCTGCGCGCGATAAGAAGGCAATTCCTCTTCTGCTTGCCTTTAAGCTTTCAGGCTGGTGTATCTTAGTGGAAAGTTTGAGTTTTGTTTGGGCTGTGTAAGTGTCAGTTTGCCTTCCATATTGAAGAAACTGGGATATGTAATATCTTGTGAATAACTCTTATAATTGGCTTAACATTTTCAACGTCGATATTTAATTGCATTAGAAGCTTAAACTGCACTGTGTGCAGAGTGCAGAATAGTACAAAGTTGGTTGGGCTGAATGGTTGGATAAGGTTTGTCAGGAAATAGGACAACTGTTTCCTGACGCGGATCTTAGTCATATGATGACCCGCACCTGGAGCTTTTGGTCATCTGACAGAGGCCTTCCGCTGGCTTACCGGTCCACCCCTTTAAAAATTATCATAACTTGAGCTTAATGGGATGTAGGGATATCTTTCTCGGATCGCCCAGTAGTCGGAAAAAGAAACTAGCACTGATTAATATAAACACATACCTGTGCGTCCTAATATTGTACAAGAAATGCGGGACTTACCGAAATTAGATCATTTAAACTTTAGTTGAACGTTTCAGGAGTCAAGGATATAGTTGATGTCTGCTAATGGCTTGGCAGTGATTTATGCAATGTAAAAAAAAAAAAAGCAGTCTTGCCACATTTAACAAGCTTCCGTTTCACTCGGAAAACAAACCTTACTTAATAAACTCGTCCGTCGGAGCATAATTTTTTCAGACAAAATATTTTTGTTACGTACGTGTTTGTCGCATCTTAATTATCATTTGTTTTGTTGCATAATATGTGAATTTTGCTGCCAAAGCAGCTGGTTTATTATTGTGGACTCTGTATCCATCTTGTGGATCTTAATGCGAGAATGACAAAATCATGTTAACAGGAGTTAACTTAAGTATACATTATTTACAAATTTATAATTTGTATAATTATATCTTTTACAAATAAGTTGGGGAGTGAAGGTCGTTATTATGGCAACCATAGTTGTATTGTGATGGCAGAGTTCAAGTCATAGCCTAGTATCCAGATTGTTTAATTTAGGATTATTATAACAGTTTTTAACTAAGAAGGTTTCAAGAGTAAATATAATCCTTCCTTCCTACTTAGTGCTGTCTGGCTGATAAACAAAAGATTTCTAATATAACAGTTGCCGTTACCATTAATTTTATTACGAGATTATATTGGAGGGTACTTAAAGGAACGTCATGTCATACAACTTCCATGGATACTTGAAGTGCTCTTGTTATGGAAAATTAAATTTACCTGGATGTAACTCATTAGATACATATCAGTAAATGGTAACAAAGTTACAGTTACAGAGTTACAGAGACATGTAGGAATTTTAGAACACCTAGGTAGCAAAAAATGTCCCCCTTCGATACCTACTACAATCTTTCTCCACAAGTCACTCTGAACCTATATTAATTTCAACTAAAATATACATCACTAGGAATTCTGGTACAACATTAATATAAATATGTGGACTGTATGTTAAGTTTAAAAAATTACTACATATACATTGAAGGAGAATTTATTTTAATACCACTCGCCAATTAGTCTTGAGATTACTTGGTATGTCGTACACAAACCCCTGCCTAAATTATGAAGAAAATACTGGCCAGAATTTCAACATAAATATAGACATCACTCAGCTGTGGCAATTTTATCCTGTTTCCATCTAATTACGGAGTCCTGTCCAGTCTCCTAATTCTCACGTTCTGCAGATCTGCAATTCCAACAATTTCAGCTCCTATTTGAGAGGTTTTAAGCCCAATATAATCTCTAGAGCGACGAAAATTCTTCAGATTTTCACCAACGTTTCTCTTGGCCAGTTCAAAACAATGGCGTCTCCCTTCTCCAGCGACACTCGCCAATTTCGCTCGTTCTTTATTTACAAATTATTTTTTATTACCTACAATGTATTATACTAATTTACATACAAAATACACTATTTTCGGAAAATATACAGCATTTTCCACACTTGTCTAAAATAGATATGCAGCGTATGGGCTGTTAATAGTATTTCATGTTTTATCCATTTATATATGCTTACTTTTAAACTATATCCATTGGAAAAGTTCGATTATTTTGTCACTAAAATTAAAGGAGGTTTTTAAAGTAGGAAATATGGTAAAACTTAGTAGCTTGTTAAACGATATCGGCAGGTATTTTATTTGACCAATAAGACACGTTTTTAAGTGTTAAGGGGTCGGAGTGGATTGGGGAGGATACTGTCCTGCGTCAGGAGTAGGACCAAGTGCCGGAGGACAAATGGCGAAGGTTAAGTGCCCGTCTCGGATTGCTCTCATTACTCCGGGCTGGCTAGCTATCTGTAGTTGACTGACTGACTGGCTGGCTGTGGCTGGCTTACTATCTGTAGTTGACTGGCTCTCTGGCTGTGGCTGGCAAGCTGTTTGTGGCT